TTCTTTTAGAACTTATCCATCACTACCTACATCAGATCCCTGTCCAAATGAACACTAGAAAATCAGGAATCTGATTAAATCTTCAAAGGAATGTTTCCTCAACTTGCCAGACCTAGTGCTCTGACCTGTTCTTAGATCTAGACCTCTTGCTTTGATAATTCTCTGAGGTTTCTTATCTCCCAATTCAGGACCACACACATCAAATGACATAATGGAAGATGGCGATAACATTCAACTGCAGCTAGGAAAAAAGCCTTGTGGTAAAACTAGGCTTTAGAGAAGCCTTGGAAACATCTCGGTAACACAACTGTAACACGGTAGTGTGGCATCTCTCCCACTACATGCAGCAGATGCATCTTGTTAACAGACTGTAGATCAGGCTCACAAGCTGATCCCAAGAGGTCACAGAGCTGGCAAGAGGCATGAAGGTGCTCTATGAAAGAATGAGATCCAAGTCAGCTTACTGGAGAGCACAAAGCAACAGCCCACACCAGAAGCCCTTGCTACGTAAGATTTTGTGGGTATGATTACACTGGAAAAGTCTTTTGGTTAAGAGACATCAGTGCCTCAGGTCTTAAAGCTAGTCTGGTAAGAAAGACTCGTTCTGGGATTTGTCCTCCTGATACGAACTCCTTCCAGTATGAAAGGACAGACCTTCAGCGAAGCAGAGGGAGGAGGGGGGCAAACCAGGGAGTTGATGTTTGTACAAAAGTACTGTGCATTAGTAAGTGATACATGCTACCTTTATTGTGATTTCAAAGTCTGAGAACTCAAGGCTTTATATTACACAATACTACTTCCCTGACATTAAAAACTGAGCAGAGTACAATGCACTGGGAACTAAATCAAGTTTGCAGACAAATAATGCTACCAAGGATATAATCCAAGGTATACTCTTTAATTTCCTTGGGCAATACTTCATTTTGGTTGCAGCACTGGTACAGTCCTCCTTCACAGTATAACTTAAAACTACCAGTGTAGTGTAGCTGATTTAACAAAATGTACTGTAGAGTTCAAGTACACATCTCAGCAAATGATGCAGCTTTAGCATTTTCTGCTCTCAGAACCTGCTCCCAAACCTGGATTGTCCCCTGAGTTGCACCAGTATAGCTGACTGAACTCAAACACCTCCTCTTTCCAAACTATGCAATGCACATCCACTCATCCCCTAAGTAAACATGGTACAAATTTAAGGCTGCATGTCAGTACAATAAAAAAGTAATTTCATTGTTACTGATTTTCTTTTCTGCTCATGTATTTAGAAATACTGATCCACCAAAACTAATTATTTAAGGGTCTGGTCCTGGCATTGGTGATCAGGGTCAAATCCTGAATATTCAAGATGAAGAGAGGGAAAAAAAAACACACCACCAAACCACTATATTTAATGCCTGCTAAAACTCTTTAGACATTGACTTTTTTTTTTTTTCCAAACCTCTCACTCACCTTGCCTACCCAGTGACCTAATGGTAAGGATGAGCAAAGCAGCTGCCCCTCTGCTAGCCTCTTCCTTCTGCAATTATACACACAGGTGACTGCTCCTTAGGGCAGAAGTTCTGTGAAACGGAGTAGCTGGCAAGACTGCTCTCTAGTGTCTCTGATTAGTTATGAGCAAAAAGTGAAGGGACCTTCCAACACAAATCCAGCACAGATGCTGCAAACTCATGATACTACTTAGTCTGGGTTGTGATGCCTCCAGCTTTATTCCAGAACTTAGGCGAAAACCTGAAACCACTTAAGGACAGAACAATAACATCTAACTGTGTACCAACGAGGTATTTGGAATCCTTGAACAAAAAGTAACGGGATGCCTTAGTGGCCTAGTGGCAAACAGTCAGAATTTGGTTTTCATTCCATCTCCTCTGGCTTCCTGGATCAACAGACTCGAAGTCGTTAGAAGTATTTTGGGATTATGAGGAAGGAGTCTCATTTTTCTTCTCAGAAGATGGGCTATATATATTTTTTCTTCTTAAACTTATTTGTGTTATAATGTTTGCTAATCATGCATAAAACCAGAACTCTCTACATGGGAAATAAACAAGACAATACGATCAACCTAGTGTAGACAAAATGATAAGATGAGGAAACCTGGTTATGATGCAGTGAAGGTCTACAAGCGAAGAGTGTGATTAACCCTCCAAAACTTGGCTAATGCCTCAGACAGCCTGAGCGTGTGAGTCTGCTTACAGAAACAACATCAGACTTCAGCTACAGCAGCTACTATAACCTCACTGTCCAGGAGTGACCTAAATCAGTCAAGAAACCCTTAATCTAAACTCTCAGTGCTATAGCGGTCCTGGTCCTTCACAAAAGAACTTTGCTGGCACAGCAACTACCTCAAATAGTGTGGGTAAAGGAGCCATAAAGTCACACAAAAATAGTTACACTAGTAAAGCCTAGTATAAAAATAGATATAACTGTGCCACAAGAACACAGCTTTATTCATTTTAACCTGGCTAATTTGGGACAGAAGGGAGGCAAAAAATTATTTCCAGGAGGTAAAAATTCCACCGCCAACAAATCCTCTTTCTCTGACCTATCTACCTAGCTGGAGCCTGTGCTAAAGTGGCCACAGTGGCATAAGTATAGTAGCAAAGGTGTTTCTGGAACAGAAATGCTTTTAGAGACACTTTTAGATATGCATAAACATGATGCAGAAGATCAAGAATCATTTCACAGCTGAGCATCTTTTAGCAGAAGGAAACAGAGGAAGTATGGCTGCAAGAGATTTTGAGCGGTCACCTAATCTGTCCGGAAGGAGCAGCCAAGCATCAACCATTCCTGGTAAATGGTCACCATTTGTCTACCTTGTTCTTAAAAACCAGCAGTGACACAGATTCTGGCTGAAATGTTGTGCTTATACGCTGCTGCTTACTTACTTCTTCAGTGATCACTTATTGTTCTTAAAACACCTAAAAGTTTTTTTCACAGAGAAGGAAACAGATGCCTACACCTAAAGGCTAATCCATACAAGGACAAATGTTTATGCTAAAATAGCATATGTGATAGGGGTATAGAAAGACATATGCAGTCTAGCAATAATCACCCAGCTTTTATCAGTAAAGACAGCTTCAGCCACTTCTGCACTCTCTGCAGAGCGGATGAAGAAACAAATCAGCACCTTGCATAAGGATGACATTCTTCCTTCTGTCCCCTTGCCAAAAGGGTTCAAGAGATCAAAGGATCAACTTACAATAACAAGAAAAAAAAATAATAAGAAAGTAACCCTCGGCAAACGGAGCACCTTGAAAGCACAGGAGAAAAAGAGCAGCCTTGATGCAAGCAGCGAGCAGGAAGACAGAAGAGGGCACATGGCTGTACAGAACGGATGATCTCAGTACAGGGAAGGGGCGCTGGGAGACACACAGAACCCCAACACCAGATGGCAAAAACGCAGAAGACTACTGGGGTAGATAAAACGTTATCTCAGAAAGCCATTGGCAGGGGAAGAGGGAAGACCCCTGAAAATTGTTGGTTAGAAGAAAGATGGCAGGGGGGTACATTACGGGGTGGGAGATGGCATAACCATGCACCACAGACATGGTGTAAATCTGAGGAGAGAGGAGTTACAGACAGTTGCTAATGTTGAGGTAGAAGACAAACAGATCCTGGTCCCTTCTTGAAACCCTGGGGTACGCAGCCTGCAAAAGCTGCTAAGCACGCACCTCCTAAATACATGGCAAGGCAGAGGAAGGAGTTCTGACCATCAGCAGGGAAGTGAGGGCATGTAAAACAGCTTGAAGAGCAATTAGGCATAATACTTTCCTCTGAAAATATTAGCACATAGAAAAGGGAACATTTTTATTATCTCATCATCTTTCTGTAACAGATTATCAAGAGGAACAAAATGCACCCATAGCATCATTGTTATTAAAAACCTTGGCTAGAGTAAGGAGCAAGAATCTTATTTTCTTCTGCTTTGACACTTCACAAAGCTCTCCTACTACAAAGTTAAGTATACATGAATGTCTGCCACAGCAAAAACAATAAGCACAGTTCATGACTTTGGCTTGTCCTTGTAAAGCAGTTGCACATAGTATTTTAGTATTAAAATATTTTAATGCAGTTTCAATGTTAGCGCTTATTTGAAAAATTTGAACAAGCTAGGTATTAAAAAAGGTTGTACCACTAAACAGCTCTTACACTACAATTAAATCATTTAAAATGTCACACCTCCAGGCACAGTTTCACAGACACTAGAAACTATCCAAAACTGGTTCTGCTGCTGGAGGTGGGGGGGAAGCTCCCTCTCCATTTAGGCAGAAGAGACTGAGCAGAACACTAATGGGCACAAGTAGCTGGGTATACTGCAGCTGTCTGAAAAGGGACCAGTGGCTGGTGAAGTGGGAAGACAAAAACCCTGGGGATCCCAGAGCTGCTTATCGATAAGATCCAGGCTCCTTAGATATGGGGTTACAGCCCATCATGTAAATCAACAAGGTGGCTTAGGTGTAGCATCTAACTGCCCATCTCTCAACTAGCTCTTACAAAAAAGGGAAGTCCTCCCTACCTCCTCTTTTCCCCATTTGTTCTCATGATCCTGTCTGAGGCTTCTCTTTTAGCTGGCTAAGCCAGTTCACTCTAGGGTTACAGGAGCATCACTGACAACAGAAACGAACAGAGAATGTGTCCAGAACTGGGCAACACCATCACCCCTTTTCAGCTAAATTAAACTGGCTAAGATATGCCATCAAGCCACACTCAGGACACCAGTTTTAGGGTTTTGTGGTTTTTTTAACATTCAGTTAGCATTAACAGATACACAGCCTACTGTTATCATAACAGCAGAATTCATCATACTTATGCAGCTATGACTGTGTACCTGTGTAATTCACCAGCGTTTGAGATCAAGCAAACCTTATGTATTGCCATCTTCTTATACAAGCTTGGACACACTATGTTTTGTCTTTACTACCCCACATGTGTTGTTCAACATACAGCTTAAGTGGTATTGTCTTTTGAGATAGTTACTGTAAAAAACCCCAAACATTAATACTTACAGTTCCAGGCCTTGTGAAGTCAATACTATGTGCTACACTTTGTCTCATTTGATTGCTAAACAAGCGAACACAAACACTTTGAAGATACTCTGGTGTGATCTAAAAATTAGGAACATAAAGAGAGAATATGATTATATAAAACTTACACTTTCTACCAGACAAGTGTTTCCAATCTAAAAGTTGGATTTGGGTTTTTTTTTCTTAAGAGGGCAAGAAATCACACACCCAAGACTCATCTATGCAAGCACAAGGTATATACTGCAACTACAGTTTTGTTCAGAAATGAAGAAAACTGTAAACTCTCTTCCACTGGGAATAGTTATACTATTCACAAGACTAATGCTAAACACTTTCAGAGAGTCTAGAAAAAAAACAGAATTTGTCACACCTGTGTTTGTATACAGGTTTTCCTCAATCAAAAGGCAAGTTGTCCAACAGTAAGTATGAAGCAGTTTTGTGCTGTAGTTAGACAATGATATGCTGATGTGTTGTCTAGCTAAAGAGCAGAACTTACACAACTGTCTTCCACAGCAGAGAGAATAAATATGAATTACACAGTACAGCACTTTGTGTTTCAATGCAAAACATCTCAGCAGGTTTAGTTTTTTTGATTTGGGAAATCTACACCCCAATATAACCACCTAATTTCAGAACAGTTATTCACTTCCCCAGAACAGAGGTGAGAGGACTGAGATTATAGAAATGCAAATGGGAACACTTATGATATTCTCAGACCAACAGAGAGACAACAAAACAATTCAAATTCAGAATGTTGTCATTTCAACACGACTTCGTTCAGTACCCAACTCCACTTCGGATTCAGCCATGACAGAAACCAAGATTCATAACGAAAGAGCACCCTCAGCTGGACACACCTGGGAAGGCTCAAACGACAAGGCTTACAAAGGAAATTCAACCAGCATGCCCAACAAAAGATAACCAGTGCCTGGTTCCTCCACCACAGAAGGTAAGAGGATATCACCCTGGAGAGCACTGAAGTGTGAAATGTGAGGCAGTGAATGAATGACTACGTGTTTCTTACTCTTCTTGAAGCTCATGTGAGCAGACACCTTTCCTAATCTCCTGTAAAGCAAAATCCGCACCTACAGGCGAATTCTTCCCTGCAGTACTGATATGAGCAGACAGTGATGCCAGATGCAGAGTAACAAACCACAAGATGTCCACGCTGATGACAGGAGGAAGGTACATACTGACTTTTCAGAAGGAGCTCCTACATCATTCTCCCTGCTAACAATTCACAGCTCCTTGAAAACCACCTAGAGGCCACTAACATCTGCCATAAGAATAATCTTCAGGCTATACAGAAGTTATAAGTACAGAGGCATGCTCGCAGAGAAGACGGCACAAAAGATGGAAGCATAAAATCATCTTTGTGTAAAAAATACCCATAAGAAAGTTGTGCCTTCTCCAGTCGCATGTGTAGCCCATTTCACACAGTGACTCATTCACTCCTATCTCAGTTCTCTTTACCAATGAAATTAACAAGTTCAGCTTCAAAGAACAGGGAGGCAAAGCTTTGCCTCACCAAAATTTTGGATGAGAATATTGTTGCCACCACAGCGTAACCTAAAACAGACCTGGCAGCAGTTTTAAAGATACCAGAACCTCTGATGGGCTGGACTGCAGTCAGTAATCACAGAAAAGTCCTCTAATCACTGCTGATTCCAAAGATCAAAAGGGGACCCTCACAAGAGATCTGAGATGTCTTGAGAGACAGTGACAGTTTCTTCAAGATTTCTGAGCCAGCACAATTCGATCCATCTTCTGCACTACCTTTGTCCTAGCACACAGGGGCAATGGAAGAATCTCTCACCCAATGTGCTGTGTTTCATTAGTAAAGACACAGAACTTGCAGAAATGCTCATAGCTACGAAGTTTCATTCACATTTTAGTGGCATTCTCTTTCCATTTTCTTGGGGGTGGGGAAGGAAGTACACATCCGAGTCATCTCTTACCATCTTGCCATTGACTGTGGCCTCCAAGGAATCCACCAGCTCTGCAGTGACTCCAATGAGGTTATGGTAGTCTGCCTGCATTTTGTTAAATCGCTTTAGGTATGTCATGGTCCTGTGCTCAGATTCCACTAACTGTTGATGAAGATGTTGCAACATATCTGTCAAGAGAACAATAAAAAAGAAATAACATCATCTTTTCAACCAAAAGGACAAAAGAACCCACAAGCATTTTTATCGCTCTGAAGGGACACCTTCAGCTGCTGCTGTGGAATTACTTTTATCCAAGGGGTGGAATTTTTCTGCAAGGACAACCCCACACTACTAGTGTAATTTCCTTTCATCACAACAGCTACAAGTATTTATTTTGCCTTAATTGCCCAAAGAAACAATCGCTTCACAGCTACAGCAGCAATACAACTATTAGACGGTAACATCACTGAATACATTTGTGAAGAGGACACTGTTTCAAAAGGCTGTTAATACATGAAGCTCCATGCTATCAGAGAAAAAACGAGGCCGTGGGCATCGAATCAGAAGACTGTACGACAAACTGCAGCTCAGACTCAGTTAACCGAACTTGCAATCTGCAGGTGAGATTCATGCACTACCTTCTGCATTCACTAAAGTAACAGTGGGTAAAAAACATTACCACACTGAGCAACTGGAAAGGTCAAGCAGCAACTCCAAAGATAAAAGAACAAAACAAGAGAATGACAGCACCCAGAGATTCATGTCAGTGTTTGTTAGATTGCCCTGTGAGGCTGGGTGTTTTCTCCAGTTAATTTATAGAAACAGACCACTGATATTTAGATCATGTAGTGCTTTGCTTATTTCAAAGTAAATACTAAGTCTTCTATCTTTTAAGGAAAATGGTACAACTCACAGAAAAGAAAAACAAACAAAAAAACCCCACCCCACCAACATTCAAATTATCCAGTTCCCCATCTGCTATTAAAATAGTCGCTGAATTCTTCGAACTTGCAGGGAATTCTCTACTTCATTCTCTACTTCTACGCAAAATATTTCAGGTGATTCCATCACTTATCAGTTGATGGTAAGATATATTAGCTACTTTTAGTACCTTCAGTTTCTGAAACTAATTCAAATTTTTCTTTCATTTCTATTAAATTAAAAAAAAAAAAAAGTTACATTCCTGATACATTTTGTTCCTTTGGGTTCCATTACTTTGGAGACAAAAAAAGCAAACTAAGCACCAAAATCTGTATCCTCCCCACCCCAGTCTCAGACCTAGCCAAATTAGCATCCTACTTGGAAGCCAGGCACAGAATCTGGAGCTGTGTACCGCAGCGCGCATCTTCATCCCTGGACAAAACTATGAAGGGGCACACAATAGTTCTATTGTTACTGCTGACGTTTATGTATTTGCTTGAACATTGTGTTTTAAATTTGTTTGCCGAGAAGCCAGTATTGCTCTGGTGTTGTGAAAATGGCATCACTCCTACCCGCAAACAGACTGAATATTTACCATAGGACTTTCTGTTAAACAGTGGGCAGGAATCAGCCTGACTACACAGTTTCAGACAGAAGTAGGATTCGTGTTCACAGATTTTAAATTTTTGGGGGTTAGCGCAGAGCATTCCAAACAGCCCTATATGAGATATTTTAGGATGAAATAGATCCAAAGGGAAGAAAAACAAAGTAGCTAAGATGCAAAATTGTAAACTAGAAAAACTATTTCCTATTCCTGGCTTTGAACGGATTTTGCCCACGATCTTTGAGGAAACTGCTATCCTTTTTCATGATTCACTATCCCTTTCCACAAAGATACAGATCACATGTTCTTGCTACATAGAAGCATTGGGAAACATAACTGACATAAGCAGAAATCTCTGTGACCTTCATCTGGAGAATCCTAAGCAGTATGAAGTTTCCCTGCACAGTTATGCTCTGTGTTTAAAAAAAGCTCAGCATATGATACCTTGCAGCTACGATAAACAAGCTCTAAAGAATTTCGGTGTAGTTATTCAATAACTGTCCCTTGCCATTTGCTCCCCTGCTCTCTGAACTCAGGCACAAACCTCTGCTGTCCCATGGCAGCTGGCATAAGGGTGGGAATCTTCAGCCGAGGGGAAAAAAGGGGAGTGGAAGTGCTGTATTAGCACCATGGCTTATCTGGTAGAGCCTTCACAAGTCGTATTCTACAATGGCAATCTGGTTACATCGCAGGTAGTAATGTACTGATCATGCACAAATATCTGCCAAACAGCTTCTGACAAACCACTTCAAAAAGCAATAAACATGTGGACATAAGAGACAGAAAACTGCCAGTAAAATACTGCTCAAATAGAACTCTTCATAAAGCTTTCTTTACAAACAAAAAAGATCAAAGTCATTAGATAGCTCTATGATTTCAGATGTTAGAAATTGCTTTTAAACCTGTCACATCTTTTGGATTTTAAGGGTTTCTGAAACAGGCTGCTTTTATCCCATTTAGATTAAAAGCAGTAGACGGCAGAACAGCTTATTCTTACTTTCAGAAAATTTAGCAAAATTATCTTTTTAATGGGATCTTTTAGAGCAAATGTGCATTAATAGGCTTTAGCTATAAACTTTAGCTATAAATGGACAGGAATAAAATAAAGCATGGAATACAGAGAAGGTACATTTTCTTACTTCTAATCTGTATTTTTTCAATGTCTATGAGTTAAGAAAAAAAAAAGACAGTTACTTTACTCTCACAGCCTTGTCCCCTCTAAGTATGGCTGCTTTCTGAGAGCAATTCATGAATCACAGTATTCTGCACCTGCAGGATTTGCGACTGACACCTGATATCAAACTGCAAATCAAGCCAGCCTAATGATATTTTTCTTATACTTTCTAGGAGGGAGCTAAAAACAGTGTGAAATAACAGTAGAAGCTGTGACAAGCCACAGATCCCACTCAAACCCAGCAAAATGCACTTGAAAGATCAAAAGGAACACTAGAACTGCTCCCAGTAGCATTGAGTAATCTTGCTGAGCGCGCCAAACCTTTTAAAATTTTTTAAGCTGTTAAAACCATCTCAACTGCCATCAATATTCATCAACCTAAATATCAAAAGAGTTAAGACAGCTTCCAAAGACAACACAAATTATTCTTCCTTGATAATAATCATTCAACTTCGATTTTATTTTTATTCCACAGCCATCACTGCTAAATGGCTACAACGGCTTTAATATGATACAGCTCCAAAACAAGAATATATTTCTAAAGTAATAAAGATTCTCAGAGCAACCATTGCACAAAACTAGTTACTCATCAGCACTTTATTCCTTTGCCTAGATGAGCAAATCGGAATACATTTTTATTTAACTGTGATACAACACATTTAATTCCGAAATTTCCAGTGGATGTATCTAGAGTGTGACTTTCACTCAGAGGAAAGTTGGAAGCACCAAGTCATGAAACATAACCCTACTCATAATTTGCTTACTTTTCATAGTCCAGTGGGGAAAATTTCCAGTGATGAAAATCTGTTTCCACCTACAGTCAGC